GTATTGTGTTCGCCTTTTTTATTTAATTGTATTCATGATAGTGGATGGTGTCGGTGGCCACACACACACACACACACACACACACACACACACACACACACACACACACACACACACACACCACACACACACACACACACACACACACACACACACACACACACACACACACACACACACTCCTGTCACTGCTCTGTTGGATATCTTACATTTACCTCAGACCCGATGTTCTCTCCACCTCCTGATCAAACTCGGCTCTAACGCAGAATGAAATGTTTTACGTTAAATTACCATTCAATATAAACTGAATTTACTGTTGGGTTCCATCCAAGCCAACATATGTTGAGGAGCCTGTTTCTCCAACCAGAGCATGACTGATACTGTTGATGTAGCAAAGCTCTAAATCACTGGAGCTCTAACTTTGTGCAGTAAGACTTTAACACGCATTTTACATACTGACTTTAATGTCCTGTCTTTAGGATGGAAATACTTAAGTCCAGTGTAGCTTTCACAACAAGATGTAACGGTTCACATGAATGTTGGACATGGTAGCACAGGCCTTTTAAAAAAAAAAAGTACTACCTGTTTAAATTGAAAGAGTACGTGAAGGCCTGTTATGTATTTTATTGTACCTCTCCAAGGCAGTGGAAGATTTCCACACAAAATGTCACACAGACTTCTAGATGTAATTCAAACGTGTGAAAGTCAGATGCTTGTAGGAGATGCTACGTAGAAGTTTTAATAGGCAAGAGTTTGGGCAACGACTTCAAAGCGATAATATGTCAGTGTTGTTAACAGCTTATTTCTGAAATGTTTCAAAAAACAAGTTATTGATTAATGTCAAGGTCTTAGCTGATATAAATGCAGTTTAACTACCACTAACTAACTATCAACGATTTCCAAACGTAAATGTTCTCTAAACGCATGTGCACCATAGTATTAGTGATGACAGAATCCACTTCAAGACAATGGTACTTTCGTACCATGCTGCGAATGGATCTGGCCCTTCCTACATCCAGGACATGGTTAAACCGTACACCCCAGCACGTGCACTCCGCTCTGCATCAACCAAACGGCTTGCTGCACCCTCGCTGCGAAGGGGACCCAAGTTCCCATCAGCAAAAACACGTGGGTTTGCTATCCTGGCTCCAAGATGGTGGAATGAGCTCCCCATTGACATCAGGACAGCAGAAAGCTTACACACCTTCCGGCGCAGACTGAAAACTCATCTCTTTCGACTCCACTTCGAGCGATAGAACTATTAACAAAGCACTTATATACTAATAAAGGACTGGCTTATCTAAAGCCAGTTGAGTAGCACTTGAAATGTTTTTGCTCTATGAAACCTGATGTACTTATATGATTCTGTTTTCTTCAAGTTTGTATTTTGTTGGTCGAACGCACTTATTGTAAGTCGCTTTGGATAAAAGCGTCAGCTAAATGTAATGTAATGTAATGATACATATCATTTTTTTTCAAATTTAGGTTCTCAGATTAAAGTCAGAATCCTGAGAAAAAAGCTGGAATTCTAAGAAAAAGTCAGATTTAGGAGAAAAAGTCAGAATTATTAGTTTATTTATAAGTTTAAAATCAGAATTCTGATAAAAGATTCCGCCTTTTATCTCAGATTTCCAACTTTTTTCATCAGAATTCAGAATGTAATCTTCTGGATTTTCTACAAATATTTTTTCTACAAAACCTGTTATAAAATTGAATTAAATACCTTTTATACAAGATGTAAAAGGTTTATGTTCATGTTCAAGCAGCAACATCTTTGTTAAAAAGCCAACTATTTGACAGCTTTCACCAAATTGCTGATGTTGGTACCAAAAGAATTGCGGTTCAATAGCCAGCCTGAATACCAAGTGTAGCATTTACTACAAAAAAAAGCTCAGTGAAACCTTATGATTATGATTTCTAGCCGTAAAGACTCAAGTGATATTTTCGAAAACAATCGTGCTGGAAAACAATGGATGTATTATTCTGTCTTTAGTAAAAGAATCCCTAGCCAGGTAATTGATGTTCTGGGATCATCCCTGTCTTCTCTCTATGTCTAACACATTTACATGGTGTTGACTTTTCCTGGCTTCCATCTCCTCTATTGTGAAACAGCGCTTTGAGAGAGCATTGTCTCATAATTCCTGTTATATTTACCGGGTTGCCTGGTGTGGGTCTGTGTTTTTATATGGTGGTGACTGTGTGTGTGAGAGAGCATGTGCATTCAGTCAAGGCTTCATTAAATGACTGCTAGGCTGTTCAGGGCTTTATGATGATTATGTTTTTATTTAGTTGTTTGTGTTTTTGTTTGCATGCATGTCGACTGTCACGACCAAATTAAGAGATCTCTGTGATGATGTTAGTCATCTCCATGCTGACTCATGTTACTTCTGGTATTCCCGATTAAATTACTCCTGGCTTGAGGCAGGGAAACACTTGGCTTCACATCGACAGGCCTTGAAACTCTCATACAGAAACAGATATATACTCGCAGCCAAAAAGCAGATAAAAAAAATAAATAAAAAAAAGACAGAACAATCCTATGTTGCAAATGTATTATCTTTTCAATTTACACGGCATCTATTGCACATCTGTCCGTCCTGGGAGAGGGATCCCTCCTCTGTTGCTCTCCCTGAGGTTTCTCCCATTTTTCCTTTTAAACTGTGGGTTTTCTCCGGAAGTTTTTCCTTGTACGATGTGAGGGTCTAAGGACAGAGGGTGTCGTATTGTCATACTGATATTCTGTACACACTGTGAAGTCCACTGAGACAAATGTAACATTTGTGATATTGGGCTATATAAATAAACATTGATTGATTGAACAATCCAGAATTTGATAAATAAAACGGTTTGTATTGCTTGAAAACAGACCCCATCTTGCCTTCTGTTAACGGCTTTGAGTGAAGCCAGCGTTGTTTCTACGGTCCCCCGGCGATACTCCAATGTTTGCGTAGTTCGCCTTGCCTTTTCTCAACTTCATTGTGTTTCCGCGGTGACCCGTGACAACATAAATGCAGTGGAGACTAAGGATACATCCACTGTAGGAGGGATATGTCAAAAGATGTTCCCTAAACTGTGGATAACATGGCTCACAAAGTTCCCTTGTTTTCTCTTTTCTTTTGATCGTCATTGTAACCTTTTTCCCATATTCCACAACACTTCTCCCCCCCCCCCCGTTCTACTGTTTACTCGCCCTCTCCATCTCTTACTCATGTTGTAATATCTTTCCCTTTGTTATGTTGTTGCATGTTTTCCCTACTTTTATCTGTAGCCCAAACACTTATTTTAGCTGACTTCAATTCAGTTTTAGTTCAGGTTTACCCCTATATCCTTCTCATTCCCTTATAGTACCTTTTTTAATGTTATCTCTCACATACTGGGCACTTAGGTGACTCTATTATTATTATATTTATTCATAGTGTGTGATAACGTTGTCAATAACATCATTAGGGGGAAATTGAATTTGAGAAATTGAGTTAGAGAGGTTGGAGCAGGGGACGTGTGGCCGCCTACACAAGAGTGTGCGGGGATATCGCCTTACCTTTCACAAATATTTCCTCATACATCCAGGCCCTCCTATCGCTCACTTTCATCTCTCTCTTTCCTACTTTTATTCAGTTTTTGGTCCCGTTCAAGAAGCCTTCATTTCTTCTCAAACCGTCAGGTTGAATGAAGTAAAGAGAAATCCTAAAAATGCAGTTAGTTATATGGGGCTTAAGAATGAAAAAATATATATTTGAAAGAGTGAATGCAGCGGTTTTAAATGTATTAACACATTTATGTACCCATGCATTTCTCCATCAAACAAGTTCATTATATTTCAAAGATTCCTCCTTTTTTTTAAACTTATGAATTACTCAAGAAGCCTTTTGAATTAAAGGTTGAAACATCTTCAAACATCAGTTCATTTACCCTTGACTTAGCACTTCTAGATTAGTTTGTTTTACTAAATCAATCATTGACCAATTAAATACATTTAATACATTTAACCAATGAGGTCACCATCTTGATTACATATAATTAAAACAACTGGTGGTTTGCTGACAGCATGTCATTTAAATTATGAACACAGTAACACTTTTACTGTCTGAATCTGCCAGGCACATTCATTTGAGTTTGTTTATTTTTCCGAAATGGACGCACCACCATTTGGAATACAATTACTCCAGCAATAATATTTGGCAATAAATCTCTCGGACGTTATTCTTACTGTCACTACTTTGACTTTGCCAAAGTGCTCTCCATAAATCACACAATACTACGCTTGTGGCAGCCAATAATTATTCCTCTGGAGAATATTCATATCTAATAGGATTTCAACATGTCTGTGATGGCGTGGCTCCCAATGTAAACGGATGATTGTTCCAGGGCAGTCAGCACATCACTGTGTCCGAGCCAGTTTTTTTTAAATGAAAGTCACATTGGATCCCTGCTAAGCTTCACAAATCGAGGATTTAGACCAGGGGTGTCAAACTTTTAATTCACGACAACTCAAAATAGTTCCCTTGGTATACAGTAAGTGCAGAAAAATACATTTAAAAAAGAAAAGGCTCATTCAATGAACTATCTTTTTACAAAACATTATGAACAACCGTAAAATGTATTAGATAAATAATTGCCTCAGTTTATCATTAACACATGGGCATTACAACTTACAAGTCATAGTGTCTCTGCAAAGGCACACGGCCTTTAGTCACAGGTACAATACTTAATAACCTGAACAATATAGCATTTTGCTTTATGATTACAACAACTTGTCAAGATCTAGAGATGGTTTTACATTCATTTCCACATCTGTGTAGTAATCCTGCTGAACTGACACACCACCATTCAAACTAAAGTGGGAACTATTTAGGAAGAAGGTTAAGTTATCCCCTGCCTTGTAAATGTATAAAATGTATACAATCAAAATACATAAAAGTTCTGAAAATGGCAAGTAATGTAAATAGTAAAACTTTACATTTGGACCTCATTTAGTGATATTTCCTCTGCTTCTCTTTCAGTGAATGGTGCGTACTGCTCAGAGAAGGATTTGGACACGGAGCTGGGTGACGCTGAGGGCACCCTGATGCGATGTGGGCAGAGCCTGCTGGTGGGGGGTCATTTAGGGGGGCTTTATACCCAGAGCCTCCACTGTGACAGACCTACACCCGACCTCATTCTGCAGGACGGCCCTCACCAAGACACCAGGTAAACTGTCACTATCATTGCTGTTGTTAAATTATTTTCTTTTGAGTGTTTCCTGTTTGGTGTAGAATTACTAACATGATGCAGGTAGAGTGTGCTTCTCATTATTTTTGCTATTGTAAACCAGATGCACGCATATGTAGCTGCAAAGCTTTGCCCAGCCTCATAAAACACACCGATGGGGTCCAAAGTACAACATTTATGTTACACTAATGTGTTTCTTATGTTGTGCAGTCTTTGACTACTGTTGGTCAAGTCAGAAATAATTTCCATCGAAGCTCCCTGTTATGGGTTATGTCCCTTTTTCCCCCTCCTCATCTGACAGCCATTCTTATCTCTCATATTTTGTCTCAATATTTTCCCTATAGCCAAACAGGAAATGGTGCTCCTGAATAGAAAGAGAGAGGGGGAGTGTCAAGGCTTTATTAACAACAACGATGACAAAGTCTGCCAGTGGCTTTCTCCAATCCTAGCTAGCGTTAGCTCTGTTTTCCCCCCAGCGTGCTCAGGGGAAGGGACAAAGACGATTCCTTCATGAGACAGCCCGGAGAAAAGAGAGCTCTTCTCACATCACTCAGGGGCTTTGGACAAAATCCATAATGAGCCAACTGACAGGAATGATTATGTAGGAGATCACAGCAACGCATGGGGAAATATGACCTGGGTTCCCCATTCAGCGGGGCAAAGATTCCCACCATAATACACAGTATTGTAAACGGTGACCCTTCATAGGCCGCAATTATGCCACCAAAACAGGTGACTCTCTATTTATCCCCAATGTTGGGTTGGGTTTAACCCCTTTGTGTCATCAAAGCCTGTCAGATGGACACACTAGCCAGTGGCCTCTCGCTCTCAGTAGCCATCCATCCCTCCCCCTCTCTCTATTCTTAGTCATAAATGCCCATTCATATCCTCTCACTACCCCGGGATCCTGTTTCATTTATTCATAAAAACACTGGATCAAGAGCGGTGGATACATCCTCATCACCTTATGTCACCTGCTACACAAGGCTAATGTTTGATCCCTTACGATGAATGAGTTAAACTATTTTCCGGTCAGTGGGACTTGTTATATTATTTTATTGTAAACTAAGAGAATGATTGTATGAGGAGGTTGGTAAGCAAGTGGATACACTCTGAATGTTTTTCTGGTGGGAAGGATGATCTAGCCAGTGTCTGTCATCAGCCTGTTAGCTAGCAGCGCTCATATTCCTCTTTGTGCGTTTTCTCCTTACAGATCCTGCTCTGCCTTCCAGAGGACCCTGCCGGGGGCCTCACCGGGATCAGACTGCGGCACCGCCAACAGGGCCCGCTCCTCTCTCCCTTACCCAATCAAACAAGAGAACTCAATGGGCTACAAGATCTCCAACACCGGGGTCCACAGCTCGTCTCAGGCCGGGTTTCAGAACTGTAGCGGAGGCCAAGTCTTGGGGATGACGAGGGACGAGCTAGTTGGAGCGCCACATGTTAATACCAGCGCTAGTGGCGTGTGCACAGTAGGTAGTGCTGTGTCCGAGAACGCAGTGCATCCGTTTAATAATGAAGATGGCTCCTCCCCGTTGGCTTTGTCCCCGTCTGCCTCCCGTCATTCAGCGCGGCTGCTCAGTGCTAGCAGTCTGAGGAGACGCTGCCTGTCTTTCGCCTCACAGTCCTCTGCCGCCGCCGCGGCCGCTAGCGTCGCTGCCTCATCGTCCCCATCGACTCCCGAGGAGATCAATATCACCGCCATCATCTGCTCCTCCTCCCAGATGTCGATGGTGGCTTGCGTCAACGGTTTCCGCTCAAACCTCTCGCCCAGCAGTGCCGGCTTCTCCTCCTCTTCCTCCTCCTCCTCCTCCTCCTCCTCCTCTACATCCCCACCCTCTAACTCCTGCTCCCGGGAAGCCCCCCTGAGGCCCCCACCTCACGGCAGCCCCCAGCAGCACACGCTACAGGAGAGCTGTCAGCTATCATCACCTGCCACCTGCCTGCTGTCCCTCTCCTCCTCCTCCTCCTCCTCCTCCTCCTCATCATCATCCTCCTCTTCAGTGTCATCAGTGGAGCAGGAGCAGGGGCAGAGCCAGGGGCCGTGTGAGGAGCGGGGCTCCATGCTGCAGGGCCGTGGGGCTGGAGGAGCAGCCGGGGGAGGAGGAGGAGGGGGAGGATCGGACGGGTTGGGGCTACTGATGAGTGGGGCCCTGATGTCCGGGATGTTGCATTCAGGGCCTGAAGCTGCGACTCTCCTGGACGGGGGCCAAAGATCAGGGGCGGTCCTCAAACAGGAGCCCCTGGATGACTTTTCTCCCAGCGAAGACGAACTCTTTCAGCACCACTATCATCACCACCATCACTTGAGTGGTCGCAGCGGGCAGCTACGTCAGCCTCACCACCCCTCTCGCCCCGCTATGCCCCCGCCCTACCACCTGCACCAATACCAGGGGCCCGGTCCTGGGGGTCTGCTGCACCACCAGAGCCAGCAAACAGCACCGCCCTCCTCCCTGGGACTCAAACCGACCTCTGGAGGCCCTCCGGGGTCTCACACGGAGCGGGAAGAAGTGGGAGGAGGCGCGCTGGTGGATAAGCAGGTGTGTCGCTGGATCGACTGCAGCGCCGCGTACGAGCAGCAGGAGGAGCTGGTGAGGCACATCGAGAAGGTCCACATCGACCAGCGCAAAGGAGAGGACTTCACCTGTTTCTGGGCCGGCTGCATCCGCCGCTACAAGCCCTTCAACGCCCGCTACAAGCTGCTCATTCACATGAGGGTCCACTCCGGAGAGAACCCAACAAGTGTATGGTGAGTAATCGTAATCTGTCATATTATGCACCCAACACTCACCAGAACCCATAAAAAGACAGACACCAATGGTCCGGCATATTCACAACACCCAGTATTGTTGAAAATCCCGTCATAGTCAGCTGTCTCACTTTTAATAATCATTGCTTCTTTTTGAAAGTTTTGGGTTGTATTTATTGTTTTCTTATGAGTGTAGTTTTTCATATAATTGCAACCATCTGTTTTCTGAATTACACACAAGCACATATTTCACAAAGTCCCTCAAGAGGATTTTTCTTCAACAAGATACACGTCCATTGTGTCCAAAACCAAGACTGGACTTGCTTCACTGCTGATTACTTTTCAACAAAAACATTTATTTTGTTTTGGTTGAGAAACAGTTATAATTATAATTCTTGTATTTTTAGTTGAACAGGTAAAAAAGAGGGTTTCTTCTCCTCTGAAGATGTGAGCTGCGGTAAATGCAGCTCTACCTCGTCAGTATAAATAGATTTGTGGTTATATTCTTTACAGGTAAGGCTCCAATTCCACAAGTCAACACTCATCAATGTCAAGCTGTCACTCCCCCGCGTCCCTTAGCAAATGGAAAAAGCCCTCCAACCTTAAGAAAAACTTAGTCCAAATACACAATTAGTCCACAATTTGTGTAGGGCGAAGCCATGTTTATTTTCACGAGCACTCTGTTTTTTGAGACAGGATTCAGATGATGAAAAGCCAACACATATGGTTAACATAACCAAACAATGCCTACACTTGATCCTTTTAAATGGGAGCTTTAAATGTTTAGCTGTCCCACAAGTATTAAGTGAGTTGGCTTCCAAGCCAAACACGAGGAGAAATGCAGTAGTCTGGAGAAAGCAGCCACAGAGGGATGGTCGGTTACATTAGCTAGTCTTGCTCAATTCACGGCTTCACCCAAAGCCACTGTCAAAAGTGGTCCTCTTCAAGTTCGGGAAGCCATCCAAAATCCTAATTACACGGAAAAACTCAGAGTGCGTATTGCTACAGCACCTGTTTTATCTCCATGGCTTTTTTTTGTCTTAAAAGAAAAACAATCCAGGTCTTGTTTATTTTTCTAATTACCAGTGCCTTGTAGTCTTCTAACAGAAACTTGTATTTAACGGCAGTTTTTTGTTGAGTTGGATAAGAAATTCATGTTGATTCTGAGTAATTCTGATACTTGTTATAGTGCACATCTGAGCTGATTTAAGCCAAAAAGACACAAACTGTTCTTTCTGCTTTGCGTCACAGTGTTTCTGCTCCCTTGGCTCAGCGTGAACTAAACATTTGGAAGTAATTTGCTGCATTATGGTCCCCCAACTGTTAAGTCTGCTTTGGGAGTGTGTTGGATTAAAGGCTTTAATTAGTCTTTTATATTCATTCCTCATTTGTCGTTGTTGTCGCTGCTCTTTGTAGACTTTTAAGGTGTCACACAGCAAATAGACACTGAGTGAATGTTTGCATGTGTATACGCTAAAGGTGTATGCATGACTGTGTCACTGTGAAGGTGCGTGTATCGGTGTGTTTATGTGTGTTTTCGGAGATGTTTACCATATGTGAGCTCTGGAAAAAGTTGGCTCAGCGTGGACGAGCCACTGGATTCTGTCTGCAGACATGAGGCTGTGTGAAACACCGCTACACACCCTCACCTCCCGATCACCTTGGTTTCAAACACACACATTTTCACAGCCATGCATTTGTGTAACAACTTGGATATTGTTCCATTCACTCTCACAATAGGAAGTATTGATTCCCTTTACAGAGCGTTGGTTCGTAACATTCCTCTTTCTGACAGATTTGAAACAGAAATGTGAAATGTTTGCGAGCTTGAATCAACACATCTAATCAGCAGGGATTCAATGTATGCTCTTTTGGGACTTCTGCAGATAAACTTGGAGGGCCAGAGAAAATATACACACTCTCCGTGTGTATTTATACCTGTGTTTGTGTTTGTATATAGTCCATACGGATTTCAGTAAGTACTACCTATAGGAAACCTACCGTGTGCCTTTTTAAGGGCTTGTTAGTTTATTTTAGTTGTGTCCATCTTATTTCTTTTTCTCTGAGATTGTGTGCTTTTTGGCCACTAGCACTGGTGCCTTTTGTGTTTTTTTTGCCCACGCAATAGACAAAGGCATTCAAGAATTTGAGCAATTCCTACAGAGGAAGCAGATGAGACATTCTGTTTTAGAAATGCTGTAGAAAATCCAGAGCTAATCCCTTTATTATCTTTCCAGCAGCAGAGTCCAGCGGGCACTCACATCCAAACACAACACATCTCTCTCTCTTTCTCTCTTTATATATATGTATATAAACTGTATCTCTTTTCCTTCATACAGCTGCACAGCATTTGTTTCATGCTGCATCTTGGCAGGAAAAAGTCATTATCACAAGTTGTATCCCGACCCCTGCATGAGCCTGTCACACATGTACGTGGCTTATATTTTAAGAAATGCTGCTCGGTTCCCTCCACATGTAGATGGTTGGGTTTGTGGCTTTAAAAAACAACCTTCTGCAACCTTTTTTCAGGAAATATGTTTTGGTTCTTTTTTCACCGCCAATTAAAGCTTGCCCTGGGCTGTTGTGTAGAGCACTGAGGGACACACGGCCGAAAAGGAAACAACATAATCTCGCTGCAATATCCTGTTGTGTTTCATGCCTAATTCACTTGTTGTTTTAGTTTATTACATTTTTTTCCTGTGTCTGCATAAATATTAAAAATATATCCAGCAGCAGTAGCCCTGACTTGGTCCCAGACTTTGATATTGTTCTGCTTTGTCAGAGGATTTGAAGCGTCTGAAGAATGGTCTGTGAGCTCCTCCTAAAGCATGAAGCTCTGTGAGGAGAGGGCAGAGCGTTAACATGGCAGAGGGACTTCATTTGGTTTGTTTGCATAGCTCTTTCTTGGGAGTATTTCTTTGGTATTTCTTAAGCTCAATGGTATCTTTTTAATGTTATTGGAGGAGGTTGTGTTGTCGTGGGATAAAGGATTCAAAGCGTGGAACTTGAGTCTGTGGTTAGGATTTCAACGTTTAAAGAAAAAGAGAAATGCAGCAGATTTAAGCACACATGATAGATTATTTACTGTAAATGACGAAGGGAGTGTTGTAAAAACAGTTTTGGTTGGATATAACATTAAGGCTTATTTTAAAATTATATTTTTGCACCTGGCTAATAAGGAATGGCTATAAAATGTTATTTAAGTAAAGTGATCTTAATAGTGATGTATATCTCATCAAGTGAGCAGACATTATGAAGCATATTCATTTGGAGCCACTTTCTTTTGTAGTTCCAAAATAACTCTCCCAGGTTCATACCATGTAGGTGACTGGTTGAGAATGTTTTAAGTAAAGTAAAGAATATCTTTCCATAAAAGGGTAGATTCACATACTTTAGCGTTACTCACATGCTAGAGGGAAAGCCACTCGCCCATTTCACAATGATAAAATGCAGCCAGCATTAGCTGCTTAATGGGACCCTGTCCAAATACACACACACACACACACACACACACACGCGCGCAAACACCAAAACACTCGCTGACACTCTCAATCAAACCACTTGTTGAAGGAAAGTTGGATGTTGAGGCCTGTTGGAAAAAAAGTGTATCATGGAAGTGTGAAACCGGCAAAAAAAAAATCTATATATTTAGATTTACTAGACTGATTTTTGGAAGAGAGTGGCAAAATCCCTTGGCAGCAGACGGTGAGACATACTGTAGAGCGCGGACTGCTGCCAAGATGGCGTGTGTTTTCAGGAGTAAATGGAGTCTTTTGTGAGCAATCAGCTCAGACCAGGAGATGAAACAGGTGCCATTAGCTAATTAAAACCGAGGTTCAGCACATGACCCGACTTTTCCTCTGAATGCCGCCTGAAACTGGAGCCGTCTGGGCAGCGGGTGGCGAGTGACGTTGATATTAATGTGTTCGTACCCGTATGAGCCTCTGACACTCGGGCTGTCTGGACAGCTTGGACGACACAATCTCACAGTCCAGCTTCTGAACCATCAAGGCCCAAAAGATGATGATGAAGATGATTCAACTGTATTGTCATTACATTGTACAGGTACTAGTAACGAAACGGGTTCTCTGCATTTGACCCATCCTAGTGTTAGGAGCAGTGGGCTGCCATTATGTACGGAAAAACTACCTGAGCTCTCAATATTTCTGAATGCACAAAGCTGGATTTGATATACATTTGTCCTAAAGCGCAGCTAAGTAGTTTCACTCAAGTAATGTACTCTAGTAATATTTAGAGGTACTTTACAGGAGTATTAACATTTTCTGCCACTTTATACTTCTACTACACTATCCGAGGCAAATACTGTACTTTTCTCTGAACTATTAAACACTTGTAGTTACTTCTTAATTTGTACATAATTACCATCATGTGTTAACATCACATATAAACTACTTATCTACTCAGTAGCACACAGTAGTATACTTTGCTCCTCATTGACAACATCCATCATGAAAATCTCCCATATGTATTTAATAGTGACAAAACAGAATAATATAATATTCTATAAATGTATAATACTGTGAAAAGAGCCATTCTGCATAATGAGTTATTTTACATTTTGAATTCAGGACTTCTACTTGTAATGGACTATTCTAAGACCATGGTATTTCAATTTGTACCTAAGTATTTGTTACACCTCTGCTAAAGAATGAAACACGCTCAGACAGGGACACATGTGACTGCTATTTCTGCAACATTTGGGCTTGTTAGGGAACGCAACATATAGCTAATTCAAGTATTTTCTGCTTCTTAAAGTCTTGTACCCAATATGCAGACTTACAAGAGGAAAACAAATGTGGATCAGCATTAAAAACTGTTTCCTCAGACTATGAACCCACACATATTCACTCCAGTCAGAGGTCTGTACACGGCTCATTGAAAGTAATCAGGGTCAATAGGCGAGAAAGGGCATTGATTCAGCATGTCAGGAGAAACGGTATGCTTAGGAAACAGAGCTACTAAAGTCTGTTAAGTTGGCACAAAAGCAAAGAGCTAATCAAGTCCAAATAAAGACCTGGCGGGGATCAAATTCTGCCATTATCTGAAGGTCCCGTGCCTCTGCTACGCTTTAAATTATTACCTAGATTAACTTTGTCAGTCAATCCTCAGGCAAATGAGTCCATCAGGTAGCGAGATATTTTCTCCAAACCCATAGCCCCATCATTTAGATATCCTCCGTCTTCCTGTGCCGCTTGGCAACGCGCTCGTCATGCTATAGAAACACTGTCCACATGTGATGTTCGCATGATGAAACTGCTGGCGAGGGGCTGATGTTTTGGCATGCGAATGAAAGCCCTGGATGGATGGATCCTGCTTGTTTTCCTTGTCGAGTGGGCCAGGCCAACTTCTTGTCAGGCCGGGAAAAGTTTTCCAGTCAATCTTTTGCAGTAATGCGGTCCAGTTCTCTCCAACACCTCCCCCGACTCCCCTTCTCTCCCACTTATCTATCATTTAGATCTGAATATAGGACTGAACACTTGCTGCTCCTACTGCACCCATATTTCTTCTTAATCCTGACACTGAAATGCTCTAAATCAAGTAACGACTATTGTAGCAGCATTTGTTGTCAATGACATGTTATATCACTTTTTGACAGAGTTATTTCATGTTCGTAGGACAAAAGTATTTATCCTCACAATCTAAATATTTGCCAAAAAGTACTAATTTAAGAACAGTTAAATAGAAGAAAAATAACAAAAAAAGATATTTGTAAATAAATGGGTTTTCATGAGTTTGTCTATAACCCTTAAAAGAGTTACATTTTTAATTGTAAGTTTCATTTTCTTTCTATCAGTCTGTATTATGCACATCGATATGTTAACAGCTTTTTATTGGATAAGAAACAGAATTATACTATCCGACTTGTTAAACTTTTTGGCAAAAGCTTGTGTGGAAACCTGGAGCTGCTGGTCCAGAGGTTCAGCAGCTGGATTCATATTTATAAATCATATTCTGCTACAACAAAAATGTTAGCATGTTAACTTTTAGCCTAGTAAATGTAGCCGCGATCAAGCCAACAAAAAACAAAGCTAAACATTTTTCAAAATATATGATGTTGTTGTTGTTGAGAA